AATCGAAACCCAGTTTTTCTTCGTATCTACTATATTATAGTATTTAAAATCTAATTTTTTAAAGTAGATTTGCTATTTCTTGGAAATTATACCTAACTCTAAGAATCTCTTAATGTATTACTCATTTTACCTATTACCATGTCTCGCCGACTTATTTGTCATTTGCTTATTTTATTTTATTTGCTCTCTTATCTCCTTTGTTTGTTTGCTCGGCTTTTTTGCTTTAATTAGTCCTCTCACAGGGTTTCGACATTCCTCAACTCTGGCATTAGCTGGCTTATCCAATGCTGATATCTGTTCCCACAGAGACAGATCATTTCCTATTTCTCAATCGGCCGAGTACACCCGATCTACTATTCCTAAATCCGGTGATAGTGAAGCAGATTTTGAAGCCAACCGCACAGATATCATTAACGGTATGGACGAGCATGACGAAGGTTACAGCGAAATTGCTGATTTCGAAGAAAGTGTTCGTGGTTCCGATGAAGTAGATACTGAAAGTGAGCAGCGCGAGGAGGAAAAGGAGAGTGGGAAACCTTATACTGATAATGGGGGTTTTGTCACGAACAGGCCCCAAACTCGGCCCGATTGGCTTTCAAATGGAGTTTGTAAGGATGATACTTCTCCGAATGTATCTAAAGATAGTATCGGCTATCAGAACTCTCAACTACAGCAGACTCAGCAGCGACAACAGTGTCAACTTCCTCAGAACCAGCAGAGAGATGTCAAGCAGAAACGCCGCCATCTGACCCTTTTAGCCTCGATGGTTGAGGCTATGAGAGGATGCTCCATGATTCCTTTGGGGCAAGACAGAGCCTATAGGTAGGTTTGTTGAGTTGGATAATTTAATTCTAACTCTTCATTAATTTATTTATTAATTTAAGTAGTAGCCGTTAAACCAAATTTAATTATGCTTTCATATTAGTTGTATCGAAAACATTATAAGATCTCATTTTTTGAGTTAAGGACGATTGTTAGTTATTTGTTCTCCTAACTGCTGACTGAAAGCTGAGGGAATGAAGGATTTACTTTAATTATTCAATCTATTCAAGACGTCGAACTTCATACGGGACAGTATGAAGACCAAGATTGTGTGGCCTTTTTTGTGGTCGCAATCTCCTTCCGTTGTATAGAAGTTGTTTGACCTTGTTTTCGCAACTT